TTTGGGTGGCGAATAGCTTAAATATCTATATCTCAGTGCATTTGGGACACGCTGCGCACTACGCGGTAGCAGTAGCCCAATCCGGGGAACAAGGAAAAGTTCTACCCCGGTGCACAGCATGGAACAATGGTGCCAATTTCGGAGTGACGTTAGGATACAATTCGGAGCAAGTAACGTGAAATGACTGACAGCTTCCAGAGTACCTTTAACGGAGCACTGCCAGTCCCTGTGGAGTCACAACCGAAATTATTGTTCAAGAAGATTCCTCGCTTTAGAATGGATTGAGGATCCTCGTTTTATACTCAGTGATGTGTTTGACAGTGGCCTATACTCGCCACAATTGTCAGCGCTGTCGTCGTCAATGACCTGAACAACGGTGTGTAGCCTTGGGGTTTTGCTTCCGCACAACGACGTCGTTTTGTCTAAAGAAATTAGTAAAATCAATGTCACACGCCCGACTTGTCACATCAACTTTAAATCAAACGCTCAGGTTAAAAATCGACATGACGTCCATGGACGTTGTTTAGGCATCACTATCCTCCGTCCTTGACCAAGCTCGAGAAGGGTTTCTTAGGCTCCATCTCGGAAGGTTGGTCTCACATACAGCACCAACATTTTGTCCCTCTAGGTTTTTCACCATCCCAAACTAATTAGGATTGATGAGCTGGCATGTGCAGCACAACCGTGCCATCGTGGCTTGAATGCCGAATGCATGTACCTGATATGTATCTGTGTCCTTATCATTGTGAATTCCCTGGTCCGAACCGGCTCTAGCCATGCCGTTCAAATGCCATGGGAGAACTAGAATCCTCAGTCCGCAGTGACAAAGTTCTCAAACGTACTGCAACTCCACCCGTATTTTAGCCCTTAGAAACCCCGTGATAAGACTTTTGGGTGCCACAGGTTGTACAGGTTAGGGGACTCTATTCCCATTCGTTTATTGGCTTCATGTCTCCGAACGCCTTCAGAGCCAGAGCAGCTGGTGCGATATGTAAGATGGTACAAAACATTTCTTTCAGTGGTTATAGACACGTTCGTAGACTGCATCCAAGGTACAACTACACTTTGTAGGCACGACTTAAATGCAGAAGGATGGGATCTCTGTGATCCCTTTTCAGTAACGCTTGCGATTCTTCCTGCTTCGCAAAAATGATAACGGTTTCCGGCTATATATTCCGGCTCTATAAGGTCTCTTTGCAGAAGTATGAACATCTAGTTCCAGAGACCATCATTATCTCATCAACGATGAAGTGAGACTAGGGTGGTGGCAATTGGCATCCTCCTCAGACACCGCCACTTGTGCAACTTACTTTGTGCATTTTCTCGTTAATGTCGTACTTTTTTCTCGTCGTTCAAAATCTGGCCACCTGTCTCCGATTGGCGAATAAAGACGGTCACCCTTAGAGTTGTCAGTTACCCCATCCGCCTTCGTCTTCTCACTCTCTTTTCATTTCTGCGTGTGACGCCTGCAAAGCTTACGTGGATAAATCTAAAGGGCATGTTTAGCTTCTGCTGTGTCAGAAGGTCGCCCAGTTTGACTGACGCCGGATCTTTTCAATGGAGATTTCGTCTTATGAGTGAAACCAATCTATGCTGAAAAGCTTACAACTGTTTTATTCCCATTACGGTGCATCAATGTGCGCATCTAACGAAAATCCAGAGGGGCTCCAACCCACAACTTCCCAGGTAGTGGTTGAACGCGACCATTCAGTCTGATGTGACGAGTTATCAGACGTCAGGTGAACGGGAGCGTGCAAACCGACCATGAAGTGTGATGGACACGGAAGGCCAAGGAAATGGAAGAAGCCCAGAAAGCCGGTAATGCCCGAAGATTATTTCAGTCAATCTGTGCGACGGGGCCCCGGAAACCACCTGTGAGTGATCGAAAGGGAGTGACTATCTCGAATAAACAAGAACGCCTCAACCGCTGTGTCGAATACTTCGAACAGCAATTGTCATGGCCACCAGCTGGCACCAATCTGGAACCCATAGGTGATGTAGGACCCCGGACGGTGAACGTGGAACCGCCAACGACCTCGGAGGTTTATAATTGCATATGTTCTCTTTATCGCCACCGAGTCTCTTGTCCCGATGACCTCCCACCCGCATTGTCCAAAGTTGAGTTGAAGTCCTCAGTCAGCGCTTGTCTGATCTGTTCATTTGCATTTGGGAAATGGAATCTGCTTCAGACAACGGGTGAGAGTAGGTGATAGTGCCCATCCTCAAAAAAGGAGCTTGTAGTGAGTGTGGTAACCAAAGAGGAATCAGCTTGACCCCAGTCGTAACGAGGCTGTTGGCGTCGCTTGTGCTTCGTTGCCTTACGGTGGCTCGTGAGGCACTGACTCGAGAGCAGCAAGCGGGATTCCGGCCTGGTAGGAGTTGCGTTGACAAAATATTCACACTTCGTCAGGTGCTACAACAACGCCATACGTACAAGCTACCCACAATTCTAGTGTTTCTGGATTTCCAATTTGCATTTGACTCGATGAACCGGTCTGTTCTGCTTGATAAGCTTGTCCACCAAGGAATGTCCCGGAAGTTCGTGAACATAATAAGCACTTCGTATTCCCAGACTTTCGGACTTGCGAATTATCCAAAAGCTTCCGTACACAAAGTGGTGTCCGTCAGGGGTGCCCACTCTCCCCATTCCTGTTTAACCTTGTGATCGATAAAATCATGAAACGAACGCTGGAAGGTCTCCAAAACCCCGGTGTTCAAATAGCCTGTGACAAAAACCCTGTCGATCTGGAATATGCAGACGACATCGTTCTCATGTTCGAGGAGGAGAAGGCGCAATAGTTCTTGGATGAACTGACCAAAGTCATCCTGTCTTTTGGTATGCACTTTGCACCCACACAGTGTAAGGTCATGCTCGTGGACGCGCAGTCACTGAACAAGCCATTTACCATCCAGGGAGAATCACTCCAAGTTGTGGAGCGTTTCACGTATCTTGGAAGTTGTATTAGTTCCAACTGTAATGTGACGAATGATGTCAATGAACGAATCTGCAAGGCTCGGGTCGCGTTTGCTAATTTGAGATACCTATGGCGTCGGAGTTGTGTATCACTGAATCTTAAGGGACGCGTGTATCAAGCTACAATGTGGGCTGTTTTGTTGTATTGCTATGAGACTTGCCTGTTCGGACAGCGGAACTGAGACGTCTTCAGGTGTTTGATAATCTTTGTCTCAGAACCATAGCTCGTGTAGGTTGCCGTCGGCGTATCCGTGACAAGGCCGTTAGAAAGCGAGTTTTCGGTTGTGCAACGGATGCTTCCATTGAAGAATGTGTCCAGCACCAGAAGCTGCGTTGGTTTGGACATGTGTTGCGTATGCCAAACCATCGTTTGCCGAAGAGAGTGCTGTTTTCCATGCCCAACTCAGAGTGGCGTAAGCAGAGAGGTGGCCAACCCTTGACATGGCATAATGGTGTGAAGGGGATTACGAAACGTTTGGGTGCTGTCGGTGCCACTCGCCTTCCAGAAGGAGACTCCGTGATCCTTACTGCGCCTGGTTGGAGACGCCGCAATATATGGCTGCCAACCGATGTCGGTAGCGATCTTGCTGTCAGTTTCTATGCAGATTGCCCGAATGAGTGTATGATGGTGTAGGCACCTCGGAATGATTGTAGTAAGCTAGCACTAAATCCCTCGTCTGTCAACCTTTATTCTTTTCTTCACAATAAGGCTTTCAAGTAAATCATGGTTGTACGACAGCGAAGCATCGGTGTTGAGCATTGATGTCATGCTGTCGATGAAGATGATGATGATCACTCAGGATGGTTTTTTCATGATCTGTCGTGGTTGCGCCGGTCAAACAGAGGGACGGATATAGTGGTCCGGGGTGATGTAAATGCCCACGTTGAACGAATAAGCCCGGAAGAAGCACAATTAAGTGGTAGATTTGAAGTCGACACTCAGCGTACGGGTAATGGGGGGGCCGGTGCTTTAGTTGTTTGCAGATCATCGTCTATTCCTGGCCAATACGAACTTCCAACACAAGTGCTCACACCGAATTACTTGGAGGCCACCTACCACAAGGCATTCGTGGATTCAGTTGGACCATGTGGCTATCAGCTGCCGATGGAGAGCCTCAGTTAAGGGTTGTCGTTCCTTCTGAGGTAGGCAGCTTGTGGCAACTAATGATGCCATATCACGGGCCCGGCTATCACTTCGTTTTCCGTCAGCATTTCGCGTGCCAAAGAGATCAGTTTCATTGATCAACTTCGACAAGTTTCAGTGGCTGAAGAGTGTGGAGCTGATCCAGCTGGGAAGCACACTCATGCGGATAATGAAGGCTGCTTGGATGTTGAATGGAAGCGAGTTAAAGATGCTATGCTTTCAGCTCTCAGAAATCTTTATCAAAGCCATCTGATTCGACTAAAGGAACGCCGAATATTGTCGATATCAGCATATCTCATTGCTGCCTGAAAGACCATACCAGAAACTAGCGACTATGATGGTATGCACAGTTCCCACAAACAGGATAATCAGGAGTTTGAAGAACCACAGAGGACGCTGGTAGATTTCGAAAGCCCGGGAGATGGAGAAGGCTTTCGCTTCAGGCCACAGCCGCGGCCTGATTATGCATCAGCAGGTGTCAGCTGTATTGAATCACAATGTCTGCGAGTTTGTGGTTCCACCGACTCCACTCCACTGGTTAGTGTCATCACCAATGGTCAGACAATCATACCAAGACCTCATGGCCAATAACATTACTGTATCCGCTTGTTCATCCTTAATTCACTACTCCCTGTTCAACCTCAACTAACCTATTCATCTTGCATTATCAAGTTCAAATGCTGTAGTAACTTGAATCGATGTAAACCTGCATACAGTTCATGCTGAAAATGATCTCAATCGTCAACAGTCCGACGTTAATCTAGCAGCAGCAGATCACGACTCGTTTCTGATGCGTTCTCACACAGCAGGACGATTTCGCTACTTTTCCCGTTTCAACTCAATGTGCTTCAGCTTTGTTTATGGTCCACTGGTCTGCATATTCTATGCCACAATATTGAGCTCCAATTTCTCTGCGGCCTCGTCGCCTCGTTCATCGTTGTTCTCATTATGTCCAACGTGGAGCTGGTGATCAGGACTTTGACTCGTTTTATGTATGAAAAGTTCATTTCTGTGCTTTGCTCTCGTTCCCAGCCTTTTTGAGGAATTGGTTGGAGTTCTGGTCGACACTGCATGTGCTGTGACGTAATACATCTACCATGCGGCTCAGATACAACTTTACGTGTAACCTTACTCTTTTGAATCTCATTGTATGCAAAAGGATGTCGTAATTGAACTATTATTACCGTTGCTATTCGTATGTGTTTATGTGAACGATTCTCTGCTCATGTCACCTGTTCTACTTAATCGTGTTAATTCCGAACGATTGCTTCCTGAGCTCAACCAGCTGATCAACAGACGTTGGGTTGCCTTCCGTCAGTGCTTGTATCGCATGTAGCCACTGTATTGTTCCTCCGGCTGTTGCGACTTGTAACCAGAGCGTGTGGTTCACCAAATTCATTGATTAACCTTCGCCAGACCCCACCGGCACGAAGGACTAATATTCGTTATATAAAGCGTGATTGAGCGCGGGTGTCGTAGGTTTTGTGATCCACATTTCTTTTCACCCCGCGCATGAATGACCACAAACTCTAAAAAGGAATTTAGACAGTTTGTGGAAGTCAGGTATCGTATGTCTCCAAAATTAATTAGTAAAGGTACTGAACAAACCTTGTAACATATTACGTTGCCTTGCTAATACAGTATGCTTCCGTCTCCGGTCAATTCCACACTATCCTAAAGTGGATGACTTTCGGGAAGTATACAGTGGGAATCATCGACCAAACCCGCTCAAGCCTGCTTTTTGGCGAATGGATTCATGGGTTCTTTGCCCCAATAATTCCGTAAGTGTAGTGTGGGTTCTGTCTTGGCTTAGTGAAAACAGAGTTTCATAGCTCCTATTGAAAAGACACAAGATTCTCCCCCACTAACCACTGGACGGCCATCTTTTTTCTTCCGAAAGTCATAGAATCCTCCGTAACTGGCCAGTTGTCAGCCCAACTGCATCGTGTTCAATCGGTTTTCTGTTGACGTATGCTGGAGTGGACTGACTTAAATGGGCTTTCTTCCGAGGTTGCCATCACCACCATCTTCGGAAGCAATACACAGTAGCAAGTACTAGCGATTCTTGAGTTCACCAAGTCTTGTGGTGTCGAACATGGTAGCACCCTCTCACACCCTCTCCCTTTTCAACTTCATCACCGATGTACTGTTTGAAACTTCCATGTCTGCTACAAACACCGCGTGGGCTATAGAAGCATGGTGACCGCGTTATAGTGAGTGAGTGTATTATAGACGAAGCCCCGAAGGCGCGCGCTTTGTTCATGGTTAAACCGCACGGACGCAGCCACCTCCATCTATAAATCCATTCATATATAGACCACTCATAGAAACAGGTTTCCTATCCGCAAATTTTTCAGTTAAATAGATCGGATGCCTTTAATAAGAACCAGCTTCAGGTGAAGCATGCTTCATGAAGCATATATTATTTGAGGGGAAAAGGGCATGAAAATACCACTAACCCCTTATGCAATCCCGTTTCACTTAACTATACCATGCATAACTCTTTTCCTCATGTTATTCCAGAGAGTCCATCTCGTGTGTATTGTATTAGACTGCATTTTCAGGGTGCAGACGGGATTCCATGGCGTTCATATTCGGTATCCATCAGCTCCTCACACATTATTGAGAAGCGGCCTATGCTGGCTTACATGGCGCGCAGAACTTGTCTTCAGATGTTGGAACTAGCCTTTATAATGAGGTGCTTTATATTCACCATTGCGGCAATATACATTCTCCATCACTCATCTCCTTCTGTCATACGTTTTCTTGGGTCCATGTCACCATTAACTACGTACATACGAACAGTACCACGCTGGATTCGATTGCGTAAGCTTGGAGGTAGGTATTCCGAGAGCATATGATAGGGATTAGAGGTGGTTGTGAAAAAAGAATACGTAAGTGGGTGTAACAGGTAATCGGATTGCAGCTGCTGTGTCTGTTTGTCGAAGTGGCACATCGTCAAACCGCAAGGCGACATGGGGAACGGAGTCAACAAAGGTGCAACACTTGTTAACAACTGAGCTACGGCAGTTATACACTCCTAGACACTTCTAGGCGCATAGCCATCCATGCCCATTAATAGCTGTCAAATTCCGTTTCCGTTTGACTCTATCTCTTAGAGACACGCAATTAAACTGGCTTAATTCCAGTTGCACCTCTCTCTTCCACTGCACAGAAGTGCTGTGATGCTGACGAAAAATTCACAACAGGGTTTGCTAAACTCATCGAGCGACTCTACTACAATCGGACGGATTCTCTTTATTCTTGACCCTCTTTCATGATGGGTATTTGAACGGTTCCAGCTAACCGCAAAAACCACTGGGTGACAAATAAGCGAATGATCCATTACACTTTTCAACTGCCGTGTCCCACAATATTGCTCTAATAGTGTGTTGTAAGATTATGTCGGATCAATTCACATTTGTTCAACTGATCGTTCGTTTTCCTCCTTTGATACAGCTGTTTTGTTGACAATTTCACTGTTGGAGGTTGCCCAATCTCAGGCTATCCGCAGACCCAGTATATTGGCCTAGCGTTGATGTAGACTAATGACATCGAGGAGACGATTAGCCTTAGCAGATGAGCCAGCTCAGGAGGTACGTACAGCTGTGTTATTCTCACCTGTAATGCGTACAGAAAAAGACGTGTCTTTCAACCCCAACTGTATACCATGCTGCAATCATAATTTTTCTGGAGTTCTTTGCTTTTGGCCTCCTTACCACTCCGATGATTACGGTGAGAAATTTTACGCTTAATCATGACATTAATTACAGGTTCTTGATGAGACATTTCCGAAACATACCTTCCTCATGAATGGGATAATTCAAGGGGTGAAGGGGTTCCTGTCGTTTTTAAGTGCACCTCTGTTGGGTGCGCTTTCTGATGCTATTGGGAGAAAACCGTTTCTCCTTTTAACCGTCACATTCACCTGTTCTCCAATTCCACTGATGAAAATCAGTCATTGGTGGTACTTTACAATGATTAGTATATCGGGAATATTCGCTGTTACCTTCTCAGTTGTTCTTGCTTATGTCGCCGATATCACAACTGAGGAAGACAGAAGTTGGGGCTATGGGTTGGTGAGTTTCCCCACTTCATTTCCGTTGTTATGTGTTATCTTTGCTCATTCTTTCAGCAGTACATTTGGTTTGATAAGCCAATTGATTCGCAATGTATGACTCTCATGTAGTCTACATGTATCGTATTACGTGCAATTATTGCCATCGAATATGTAGATGATGCTGACCGGCGATTTCAAATACCAGTTACCGCCGAGGCTTATGAGTGTCAGGGCAAGAACGGACAATCGTTTATTTCTCCGCTTTTCCCAACCACTTGATCAGTAGTCACCGGACGTCGACGAAACGGTTGTTTGGCAATGATGGATCCCCAAGCTATTCACAACAACGCCATCTCAGATGGTAAGATAGACACTTCAAAGAGCAGTTCGACTCGTTGCCTGCAGCATTCAATTCAGTGAACGGTGCATACCAGATTCCCGTCGGAAACCCAGTTAAAATATAGGATACCGCCTCTCAAGCACTCCATGCACCAGTCCCGGAGCGGACGGAGCTATAATGACATTCAGGCTGCATAGAGTGAAGGTAGATAACCCACTGAGTAGAGTTTATCAACTTCCAGTTTCAAGAAGTAAGTGATAATTCTTAAGGAAACCATGGTGGCATCCGTCCGGTGCCCCTAAAATCCATTGTGCTCTATGATATTTTCCGGCACGGGTTACCCCCGGAACAGGAGTTCCAGATTCCTGAGAGGCACTCTTAATGTTGCCTCCACAAAGTTATATTCACAGATGCTGGAACAGCATTACTTCTTTCAGTGATCAGTCATAGTCGTCGCTTCTGTCTAAAGGCTTCCGTAGACCATAGTGTACTATAGCAATGTGTAACGACCGAAGCATCCCTGCCTAACCTCTCAACTTTACCAAAACGATTGTACGCCAGCTTTCAAAGTCGTACAAACCCTTTCCGCAAATCTGTTGCCGTCTGGCAGGACTGCTCCATTTCACTTCTTGACTTGGACTTTGTTATCTGTGTGCCCTGCCTACTCCTGTGGAGTCGAAGTTCTACCGAAACGTGTACCTACAAATATTAAGTATACGAAAGACATAGTTCCCTTTGGGTCAGGACGACGCAGATTATCTTACTGCCTCCTCACTTCGAATGCTTTTCGTGCCTGTAAGTTTTCAGGTTACTAGTTGATGGGTGAGATCTTGACCTAGTCGCATGTTTACAAAGTATGAAAATTCACACATGTGGGCAACTGTCACTGTTGGTTGTCCGGTTGAAAATAGAATTGATTCTCATATGGAAAGGCCCATGATGGATTCTGCTGGTCCTCAGTACAAATGATTCCAACTTGACTTCAGACGGTTTATCGACAGCGCTGCAGTGCTCCCGAACTCCCTTGAATGGGACTTTGTTCACTGCTGTGGAGCATGCTGCAGAACACGAAGTTGTATTATTAACGTCAGTATGAGCACATTTGGTAAATGACGGAGTGCAACTTTAGACACAACATTACTCTTACCTATGACTAGACAAGCTCTCCCGATCCCCCTCAGTATCCGCCACATTTCCATCGTCATCATCATCGATAGCCTGCCTTCAGTGTTTAACACATGCTGCTCTACACATTTCCATATACATTGTTTTTTCCTTTCAAAAGGTTTCGGCCACCTTTGCCGCCAGCCTCGTCACTTCTCCTGCAATCGGAGCCTACCTTGGTCGAATTTTCAGTGAGGATTTGGTAGTGGCCCTGGCAACTGCCATTGCCTTCTTGGACATCTTTTTCATCCTTGCGTGTGTCCCGGAATCTTTGCCGGAGAAGGTGCGTGCGAGCCATTTGTGTTCCATCACCGGTCGAAGTGGTAGCGCTGGCAGCGGGAAACTGTCTTGGGATAGGGTGGACCCATTCGCGGTAGGTTTTTCTTTGGATGGAACCTCGGGCGTGTTCCTCTGTAGTGCGTCTCGTTTACTTCTATTGAAATAAACTTTTACTGTTGACCAAAAGATATTTGAGATACTTTTTCATTCAGGGTTCGAACCTCTATCGCTAAAGCTGTAAGACCTGCTTAGGCTTTTACGTCCCATTGAGACATCTGTTCCAGAGCGCAACAGGCAGGTATGTCTTATCTTTATTTTATTCTTATGTGACTTCCGACTTGGTAGCTGTGAAGCAAATGTGCACAAGTTAAGCCTCTTGATCGATGGCATTATGCTTTTCAGGGATTATTCTAATCGGCGTGCACATAACAAGGTAGTCGCCTAGTTCGACTGATGCACTCACTTTCATAACGATTTGCTTTTAACGGGTACTCACCTGGGACCAGGCTGAATCTCTCGTTTATGATTTTCCCAAGAGCATCCGGGTTCCAGTTGAGTCCCTGTCAAAAGTAAATTAGTGTGCATATGTGTCTTAGCCCTGAGCCAAAGCCATTGCATCGTGATCACCAGACATGCGAAGGCCAACGTACGGGAGTTCTGGGTTGTTCCCTGGAGCTTCGAGGCATATGGTCGAACTTGGGTCTTTTGTGCATGTTTCCGCGTCACAAGGTACGTCGATCGAAAGCAAAGAACGAACAAGAGAAGCCCGTTTACTAGCTTGAAACAGCAGACGTTGAAATCAACTATATGGAACCACAATATGTTTAATCCAATGAGGCTTATTTTTTAATTATTTTACTTGGCAGGAGTTTGGATATGAGCAGGTGACCTATGCTAAGATGAATCATGAAGGTTGTGCAGTGTTTTAGTGACTACGCTCTTCTCAAACACGGTGTGAAAATACCGTAGAGGTCATTCATTTCCCATTCCCATGGGTTTTGGGTATCGAAGGGCAAGACTGGGATTGGTATTAAACTAAAGAGAATTCGGCCGGATAAAAAAGGTGATTGTAAATGAAACACTCTAGTCATTCACAAACCGCATGCTCAACCTTACGAATTCGCTTTCAACAAAAAAACGGTTGTGTGTACGCATAACATGTATGCATACCATCTATGGAAACATTAATAAAAAAGAAATCGTGTCTTGCTTTGCATCAGATCACCGGCTTTGTTGAAGTACATTGATCAAAGCTTGTCAACCTATTCCAACACTGTTGTCCCGAGTTTTCCCACTCTCGTCAGTACGACAGTTCCCTTTCAGATAGAAATCACTGTGTAGTGTGCGGAACGCTACTTGTTTTTGTCAGTTTTCAGGAACATTTCAGCACATTCAGATCTTGAGCACATACTATTCTAAGTAGCTACTCATTGAATCTACCGGAAATTTTATCTTTTATACAAGGAACTTCTAAAGAGGTTTCGAAACGCCATGAAGGAGATTTCATAGACCCAGTCGTTAACGGTCTCACAGCTGCACTAGGATTATCAAGAGCTCGATTCACGCTGTTTCACTGGTTATCATTATGTGTGGCACAGCATTTCATTTGTGTCAACTAAAGGATAGTACTCTAATCTTCGCTATCGTTGATGGTTAGGGGAGTTTTGCGGGCCTATAAGAACGCCAGAATATGCAGCATATGCGTCGCAGCTTGAGGGGAAATTCTGGTCAACCCTTTCATGGCTAATCTGCTTGAGTGGGCCATTATAAACAAGTGGTTTATCACGGACCGCATAAGGTTGTGAAGGCCGAACACCACTGGTGTTTATGAATCACCAGGCCAGCATAAAACAGCTTACCACCGTATATTTAAGGGTTGAGTATGTTAAACGGATGCTGTAAGATAATCCACGACGAAAACGCGTGAACACGGTGAGGCTCTCTTGGTTGATCTGGGTGCACAGTAGATCACACCTTACGAGGTCAGGAACGAAAGAAAGTGTTTTTCAGTGGTGATAAAAAATGCATTCTTGGAGGGGCAAAAAGCGATCCATGGTGAATTGTCTAACAGTCTAATAATGTCTGATGTGTAATAGTTTTCCACCCCAGAGTTGAGTTGACTTACCCACATGTAAGTAGTGAGTCTAAATGCGGTACATGGAACCGGTATAGGAATGAATAGAGCCTCAGAAGATGTTGGTAGCTCACGTAGCATAGACTGCCGTTGGTTTGTCCGCTGGCCTAGATACTACTTGCAAACATGTCATCATCAATTGAGGTGACATTACCAGTGCGTCTTTAGGGAGTGCGACGTACTGGTGCATCGGCGGTTGTTCATAGTCACTCTCAGCTGATAAGATTTTCTGCGTGAAATCCTGGCAATCGTCGGAGTGGTCAACCTGCTTACTGATTGCAGAATCGACCGAGATATTTCTTAAGAATTTTATACACATTTTTAGGGCCCATGCTTATCGATTCTCCTTGGAAAACGTCCTAACACCAGTAAAGTCTTGATTAAATTTGCCGGATGCGGAACGAAATGTAACCTTGTGCTAACCGGTTTGTAAACCCACATCAGCCTTAAAAACGAAGAAGTTGGCACCAGCCACAATGTTTTCAACGCATTTACATTGGAGCCAGTCGCCAAGAGCATAAAAAGTCCGAGCGTGCGGTGCAAGAAGAATAGTCTTTTAAAGAAAACTTTTATGTGTTCCTAATGCAAACGGCTTGTGACCAAGCCGATACCATAAATAGGCCTGGTTAGTAAAATAATGAGCTTGTTACCTCTGGCAACCGACTTCAATGACAATCCTTTGTCAGCGGATCACAGTCCCTGAGGTAAGCAGGGAATAACATGTTTTCGACCCCCACATCCCCTCTAGCAATGAAGAAGTTGGATGCAAAGTATAACTGCACGACATCCATTTTTGAGTGCGATTATCTTTATGCTGATTCCCGCAACGATGATTCCTCAGCTGACTGATGAAGTCATGGTTTTAAATAAACCCACATTATCCAATGATCAACACCCTTCTCCTACTGTCTGGGATCCGCAGATGTGATGAACTTTTCGGTCAGTTTTTGGAGAAAGAATCAGAATGCCATGATCAATGGGGTCAATGGACACGCACACCTACAGGTCGGAATCGTTAACAAAAAACCAAGGTTCCTCTCTTCCAGTAGGAGGTTTTTTTGAACTATACATATAATACCGGACAGCGTTGCAAATGTTTATTCCTCATCTGAAACTGAGTTCTACAATCCGCCGAGAGAATCGTAAGTGTGACATCTTCGGATTAATTCAGGGGTGGGGGTTGTTTCGTGGTTCAATTCTACGATCCAGTAGTTTGCTCCCGAACAGAAACTCACTTCACATATTCCTCCAGTCGTCATTCTAAACGCGAACACCTTTTGACAGCCATATAACTCCTAAAATTCCACCCGTCATCCACTTTGTAACAACGCATGTAGATCGTTTCAAGGAGGTTTAGTAAATAATCGGTGGATTTATTGCTGGGCAACGTTTTGCTTTGGACACAAAAACTTCGTCAGGTCAACTGAACACGCTACTAGGCTGACAGCCTTAAGGCGGATGAGACTTACACCTAGCCGACTTAATCAGGGCTGAATCTGTTCGTTGACTAATACTTACAACAAATGCGTTAGAGGGAATGGTCACCAGGTTGAATGAGGATTTCGGAGGCTTGTTTTTCCGGTCAAGGGCTCTTCAGTGGATTATTCCTCGGGGATGTCGTTGCCCACCAGTAAATCCACCAATTGTTTACCGTACTGCTCTGAGACTATGATGATTGAAAATACATGTAGATGTTGCCCATAGACCTTAGCCACTTCCATCCTGGTGATGAAGAGGGGTAATCTTATTTTGATTCTGGCACCAGCAGGGGAGTCAATCCTATGGTTACTCTCGAGTAGCTCGTAAAGCAACGAAAACAACACGCTGACTTTTTGAACTATGGGTTAAGGTTGATTCCCAGATTTAGCTGAAATCACTCGAATGAAGTTCGCAATTATTGATAATTAAATTCTTTTGTTGACAGTACTATTAAAAAGCTTATTTCTCGGAATTCGACGTTGTAACCCAAAAACTAGGCGTACGGTAGCCCAGTTTGAACACCTTCAACTGAAGGACATAAAAGTGCCGTCCGAAGGTGTTCTATCATTTCAGCACTGTACTTTACTAATTATACAACGTAGCTTTGTTGACCAAGGGACGTTGTAACAAAGTCCTGATAATTCTGTTTTGACAAAGAACACAAGGAGCAGTGTATAAAAAATAAATGCACTTTTGAACGGCGGCACAGAGTTTACACTGCATCCCAGTAAGAAATGAGTCGGACAAAGTAAAGAAACGCATATGAAACACTCAAGTCCCTCTCAAGCCAAAACTTCGTTGCCCCGAACACCAAAGGTACACACTGTGCACGATTGGACAGGTTTCCTAAATTACACTAGACTGGCACTCCTATGCGCCCCATACAGTCTCAGGTTGATGAAACCGCAACATAATCTTGCAAGATGGCCTGTAGACATTATTGTGCTCATGAGGAATGATGTCTCATGCCACAGCTTTCGAGTTGTTGGAGGAACAAAGACTACTTCTGGGAAGCAACTAGCTTCCTTGGAAGTCCAGTCTCGCTTTACTTCTCTCGCTTTCATTGAGACTACAGACTGACCTCATTCCATTTTCCGAAGATGTTTTGAGTACTCTTCCGGTAATGTGTACTAAGAACAGCCAGCTCCTATTTGACGGAAAACCGTTCAAACGGATGATGTGGTAATGGGTAGTCCATTAAGTCTGTATGTTGGCCGATTTGGCGAACAGATTAACAATGAAATCAACAAATTATGCTGCTACAAATGTCATGTTGTCGTTGGCGAAAACAAGGCTCAAGTAGAATATATGTGAAAGAATCTGAACGCACGAAACGTATTTCTTGCTGTTAAGTATGAAGTGTGTAACAAACGGGCATTTCTTGGCGTATTGACGTGCCGAGAACAACAAGCAGGAAGGTTCATCTTAAACTGAGGACTGCTGATTTCGCAAACTTTAGAAGCTTCGTCCCAGTAAGCTACACATGTTCCGTGCTGTTGGCCCCTTTTACACGTGTTTATTGAATGTTGCTCAGGGACTTTTGGGAGAGGATTATGGTTCGTCAGTAATTGTCCCAAACGAAACAGCACATTTCGATGCACTCAGCAGAAGATATTCTAATCCAGTCATTTCTGCGGGGGTGGGGGCTTCTTTGTAGCACCAAGGGATACCATACATTAAGCTGGCATTCCAAGGTGACGACTTACCAAACAAAATCAGTCGGCGTTCGAATAGCGTCGTAGAACGTTCGTTCACGCTGTCGTTGGCCCAATATGCTTAGTCAAAACTACACGCATGCCACTGCCGCCTAAAAAGGATATACCACCTAGTCTGATCAATTCACACTGTCTACAAACACAACTATACTTGCAGAAGCACGTATTTGGGTAAAGCTGAAAAGTAGCTAACTCTACTAGTAGTTGGGTATTTGCGTCGTTGACTAAATGTGTCAGTCATTTGGGTACCGAAGACGTCGATCGTCAAGCATTTGATAGAATCACAATGTGGTAGCAACTCAACTACCCTTCAGATAACCATTCGATATTCACTCCCATGTTGCACTGAAGCTGTATGGAGGCGAGGCGATTCAGTGGTTAGAGCGCGATTTTGCTGACCGGAAGGTCCGTGATTCGAACCCGACCTCTGCCTCTCGACTTCCCCTTTCTAGACTTGGGCAACCTGGCAGTATTACAGCCCTCGTGCTTCCTTCGGGTGGCATGGCAGCTAGGCACTAAAAGGATGCTACAGCCGAACGATTTTACTGAAGTTGCATCCATCCGTATGTTTGGAAGTAAATGTTTTCCTCATCTTTATTTTGTTAAACTTGTTAGCAGAATGAAACAGCTGTTGTCACACCCTGCCCTCCCACCCTTGCTTTATTCGTTGTGCACATCGGTTCTTGTCGCACTTTGAAACAATTCCGTTTCAACAGCCCCGTAGCAGTTTCCGCTGCTGATGTTTAGAGGCCGCGTTTTCAATTTATTTCTTGCCGAATCCTATTGTGATTGTCATGATGGTAGGCTTCTGGATGAGGTGTTGAAAAATTGAATAAGCTCAAATGTCTTTTGTTCATCGTGTTCGTTTCGAATTTGCAACTGTTTTCCACAGTTCCCCTCATTGAGCTGCTATTACATTTCCAGGCATTACGAAAGGTGACCAACGATTACCTGGTATTGATGGTGTGCATCACCACGTTTTTCTCCTATCTTCCGGAGGCCGGACAGTATTCCTGTTTTTTCGTCTATTTGCGACTGGTAAGTTTGCGCATTTGCGGGTTTGTATGAGCGCTTCTTTTCGTCGACTTTGTTATTCGGTGGAAGCCAAGTCTCCATCTTGCCATTGCAAACCTGTTTGTATGTTTGTTTGTGTCAGTAGCTTGTAAACAATCTCATAAGCTTTTTTTCTCATAATAATTTTCATGATAAATACTTCAAACGACAACCGTCGGTTGTGCACATTGTGATAACGCAGAAAACCTAGATTCAAGACATGCTGGTTGCAATGATTCAGGTAGTTGTCAATCAGTAGGCTTATTGCGCATCCGAACTTTGTTGTTGTTGTTTGTGTACTCTAATTGATTCTATGTTCACCTGAGTGATGGAACTTTGCGATGGCTGACTGTTGGCACGCAGTACTACAACTGATGAAGCAAACAATTAATCGGGTATGGAACCAGTGTCAGCTGGGTGTTTGGGGACCGAATGTGCTGTTCCAAGTTTGATCCGGAAAATTACTATCACGGTCGGTACTTCCAAGTTGTTCTTTTTAAATAGGCCATCCTACGTATCTCTACACTCTGTCTTCATTTGTCCATTCTCCAGGTCCTCGGTTTTAGCGAAGAAAGCGTGGCCCTCTTTATCGCCGTTGTAGGAATACTTTCTTGCATTTCTCAGGTACGTATCGGACAGTTTTCCTCCTCTTTCTGTTATGTGCATACATCTACTCACTGTATTCCTCAACGTTATGGTAAACCGGATGTACTATGTTGAGGACACCTATATCCCTCGTTTAATAGCGTTGACTATCCTCCCGAAGTGGGATACGGTAATTTCCGCTAGATGCACGCATTTCACCACTTATTGAACAGTGAACCTTAACGTAACTTAAACAGAAGATTACAGAAGCGGTCTCTTGTCTGTGTAGTGTCTTCTCTAACAGAATAGACGTGCATCACGACTACAGTGTAAAAGCGTCGCTGGTGCTCAGCTCTAACCAGATGCTCTGTCGGTAAACAAATGCGAACTAAGTTTATTTCGGGCGAGTCATTCAGACACCAGCTACTGCTACTGCATGTTGCACCCGTTTGATCTAACTTTACTCGATGTAACCGTGCGTCGAAAATGACAATCTCAGTGGCTGCTTTGTACCCAAGCATCTCCATCTGAAATGTACTGTCAGTCGCCTAAGCCCGCTCACTGACTCACGGCAGCCTCAACGTATCTAAAGGTATGACCCCAATCAACCAAAGCGAGTTGGTTAGTCAAACCTGTAGGTCGGATAACCCTGAATTAATGCTTTCGACATCTCTGTTGGAACCCTCTTGTCATCAGTGAGTCGCCTACCCAAGACCTGTATCGCGTTCCTTCGATGTTGGCGAAGCTGGACGTTTGTCCATACTGTCTTTTTAGGACTGGGGATATAACGGTGTATCAAAAGCCGTTGTCTTCTTAGAGTGAGGGATAATAGAATTTGCCATTGGTTCAGTGCTCTATCTTCCCCTCCACTGGCAACTCTCAATAGTAACACTATCAATATATAAATGTCACAACTAACTGCGAGGACAACCATTATTGAGTGTGGATACTTGTTTCAGAACTTGTTCCCACCACTCTCCCCTCCTTTCAGTTATATCACAACAAGTGTATGGTGACTGAAAGTCCGATCATTAGCGATAAGTCAGTCACGAATGGATCATCGTAGATAGGCTCATTACTGCCAGTTAGTTTACATTAGGTCAACTGACAACCAATCTACCAAAAGCGAATATAGTGTGCTAGGTTCTCAGCTTTGGACTGTTTGACTCTTGGCGCCTTTTAGGCTAAGCCATTCACATACTCTGAAAGGAATCGATATGAACAGCTGTTGGTTCTTGTTTTAGCGCGTTAACCCCTTGTTTGTGGTATTTCGAGAGAATTGTGGATAAGGAACAGCTAGTGTACCGCAGGTGCAGAAGCAGACTTTATGATTAAATTTTATGGCAAAAATTAAAGATAAAGATAATCGTCCAGTTGTAACACCCTTTCGGTGCCTAGCTGCCATTCCACCTGGAGGAAGCACGAGGGCTGAGATACTGCCAGGTTTCCCGAGCCTAGATAAAGGAAGTCGAGGTGCAGAGGTCGGGTTCGAACCACGAACCTTCTGGTCAGTAAATTCGCGCTCTAAACACTGAACCATCTTGGCATAAGGGTTATCATCAGACATAATTTGGGGCCAAGCTAGGCTTATAGTGTCCCCGATCTAGGAGTACACTGCACTGTAGTGGATTTCTTCACACAAAACAATTTCAACTTTTGGCCTGTTTCCAAATGTTTTTCGATAGCCTTGCTGTATCTTTTGCCCCCATCATGAGGAAACAATCCATAGGAATCTGTCGTTGCATGTTTTTTCTGACGCTGGATTTTCTGCTCATATTTGGTTCTCTTTCAAAATGAATTGCCTACCCACATTTTCTAACCAAGGTTCTCATTGGGGTAGTTATTATACCAACAGCCTCCTTGTCTGTCAATTTCGGTTCCGTTCGTAGTACCAACATCCGATTAGCCTTCACCTACTGTTAAGATCACGTGGACGACAAAGTTAGCCTACAGGTGACAATAGCCATATCGAAGACATTTCACTGGGGGTGAATGGAACGCAATACTTCCGTCTGCTTGCACTCCTACTAATAGCAACCTCCTTCATCTCAGTTTGTACTCGACTGTAAAGATTACTCGTAGGATGTGAAAGCACGGTTTATCACTACCAGTGTGCGCGTGGCACGCCGGATTACATACATACTAAGTACTGATATGTAATGTCTAACTCGTGACAAGTCACCTGAATAAGATATGTTTTTTTGTTTCACGAGTGAAAACTTTGAACCTTCTTTCACAAATGTGTATCAGAGGAAGTTGCAGGATGTGTAACCATAGTCTGACGGTTGAAAATATTTTCACAAGCGACTGTTAATCTGAGGTAGGTGTTGGGAAAACAGCGAAGGGATATTGTTCTAAATTTGGGTATTTCTGATGGGGGAGCTGAGATTTCCTGTGTGACGAAAACGGACACCTTGTAAGGGGAGGCCTGTGGTGTGTTTGAATACCTGAGGATATAGCACAAAAGCCAAAGGAGGATCATTCAATGTTTGGGCGACAGAAATAAGGTAGGGTCTACGTTCAGACAAAGGTAAACGAGCTTATGTTTATCGGTACTGTAAAAACGCGAGGCACACCCACACAGTCGCTTTCTCAGCCAATTGGCATTGTGAACAACCACCTTTGCTTGAGCAACTGCTTAAGTGCTGATGGAATGGCGAAAATAGCCCTTGATTGCCAAGACCGCTTCACCTAACATTGTAATCTCGTAACCATCTCTGAGGTTTCCTCTGTCCTGCTGCACAAACATGCCTACTGTTCCGAAGACATTTTTGACGGCGACCTGGTTAAATCCGACGGTCTATTTTCGTCTGTCAAGTAACAGACGTCTGGGTTGCTCCATACGTGTTACTGTAAGGTCGAATGTAGCTCACAAAGACGCACCAAAGTATTTGACGCTGAAGTAGTACAACTCAATTGACAAACTACTTCCATTTCTCACTACATTCATGTTAACGAGAGACGCAATCATATCTCTCGTTTAAGGTAGCAACTCGTTGAAACTAAAGTAAATTACATATGAGTGTGTTTCGTCAGTTGTGTACAATTTGGTTTTCAAGTGGAACCTAAGTTAGTGAAAACTCCAAGGCTCCAAAAGGGTGAAACCGGTCATGGGCTGTCAGCATCTTTACGAGTAGTGCATTATTCCACCAGTTCCCCACTTTCAGTTTTCCAGTAATTCCAAGTCCAAGTGATTTCGGTTTTGTCAGAGAGGGAGTCATGATAAGCTAGGAGCATAGCGTATCATTTGTGATCGTTATGCACAAATACGCATTAAATTTGGAGAAGAAATCGGTACAGAGAGGGTCGTCAGATTGAGTGAGCAGTGTATACAGTAAAACCCCGCTACAGTTCCCAACCTGCCAAAGCCACCGCCTTCAACCTGTTCCGTCAGCTTTCCCTTGTGGCCGACGTAGGCTGGGTTCTCGCATTTTTGGTGGTAGCAGCAAGAGTAAACTTGTCATTAATTCATCAAGTACGTTGATTTTTTTATCGAGATACATTTGAATTAAGAACCGATCGTCGGAGTTCAACATCCTGAACGGTATCCATCCCTCTGGAACGGTCGATTCCGGTCGTTCTCTTCATAGGTTTTGCTGTGTTATTTGAAATCAAGATGTATGGTGCTCAATGGTTGTCTTTAAATGCTCTTGGAATTTATTTTGTCTTGCCATGATTTCGAATATGACGTCCGTGTGGACTGCTTATTGTCTGTTTCTCCTAGATTTTCCATCATTCTAGTGCCAATGAGCCTTGATGATCTGATTTTCGCACTCATTCGGTCTAACTACTTTCTGATGCGTCACCTTTCAGACGGTTATTCTCGGACTGCTGAATACATGTATGGGGCCCAAACAAGCAATTATTATCGGTCTAGTGTTTGAGGCCATTCAGCTCACGCTATATGGGTTCGCCACACAACCGCTGCTCTTGTGGACTGCCGGTCTGGTTGCTGCTATGGGAACGGTTACTTATCCAGCTCTGAGCGCTTTTGTCTCAAAACATGCCGCAGCTGATCAGCAGGGCGTAGCTCAGGTAGGTTTCCACAGTCCATTCGTTTCAAGTTTTATTTTGACATTTTGGTTCAGTTAGGGTCACTTCTATCTTTACGTACAGTTTTGCTTGCTCAGCGTAGCAACCGATGATTGGGTCAAAGCCAGTTTATTCTTTGATGTGTGTATTTCGTGTGACACGAACACACAGTGCGTAAACACAGCGACTCTGCTTTCACGGATCAAAATGTGTTTCTTGTGCACCGTGCAAGAACGTGGAACATGACGGGATGGAGGACTTTCTGTATTGGTAATGACTATAAAATATAGGTGAAACAGCCACCTTTGATATCCCGGTGTCGTGAGCGTCAAATTCGAGCAAGAGAGAGGAAGTTACTTGCGTCACCGTTTGTACGTGGTGGCGGATTGCTGAAAGTTATTAAGTATGGCATACGTAAACCATACATATACTCCCAAGCTGCATTTTATCCTACATAGTTTGTCCTGAAGAGCCGAAACGAGCCACGCGGCTGCTTCAGCCCTTTAGGCAACATCAACATTGCTCGCCTTACAAATCCCTGAAGAGATTCGAACTCGTAATCTTTCAGATAGGAGCTGAAGCATCACCACTCAGCTACAGTTCATGGGTCAACGAAGTATATAATTCCACCTATCATCAAACCAAGCAATTCATATCACATTCTGGTGTTAACCTGCCCCTCGAAGTTAAGGAGAGAAGGTTCATAGGGTAAGGTGTGTGTGACTTGTAAGCACTTTCGCTTTCAAGCAGATTACTTGTAAGGTCCTTGTCGTTCACTTTGTGGCAAAACACGCAGACGCTGGGGACCTATGTGGACCGCAAAACAATTGCGATGGTTGTGTAGTGCCCTACCAGAACAATTTTAAGGCTAGTTGATCTTTGATCGCAACTGCCAGTTTTTCTACCTTTGTGCATTTTTTATTCACGCCCCTATAGTGTCTCACTGACTGCAACCTTTTTTAACATCGGACATTATGTTTTTGTGTTATGCGACTAATTTGAGACGGGTTTTATCAACGCAAAGCATTTTTATGGATTACTGTTGACACAGTCAGAGCATTTAATGTTTTTTACTATCTGGTTCTAAACAGCCATTGACAAATTAAAGAGGCAGCCACTCTATGACATGAGTGGATGTGATGAATGGTGCTCACTTTCGGCACTGTTGGACCGTTCAAAACACCAACGCATTATGTTAATGTGAGCTCGTATTTTGAGACAAGGTGTACGAGGAAATGCTTAGAGAGAAGCTCAGAATTTGTGGTCGTCAACCGACTTGGCTAGTACAAACTACTATGCAACAAGCCCTCTCTAACAGTTCGAAGTAAACGGTGGTGACGAGAGATAGTCCAGACTACGGTACAAATCCTCTGCTCTGAATTTTTATTACGACCAAAATGCCACCGAGTTTTCTTGCCTCTCTTACTTCATGTTAGATGACGACTGATTTACTCTGTTTCGCGCGGACCTGTGGGTGGACGTAGGTTCACTTTTATCACTTACTCACCACTAATGAACCGATCACCCTGGCCTGGTATTTTGAATCCGTACTAGACATTACTCCTATAATGAACCGATCACCTTGGCCTGGTACTTTGAATCCGTACTAGTGTTACATTACTCCTATTCGCGAGGGACCGCGTTCCAGGGGCAAACAAATCAGACCAAGTCGAAAAGAGCCCAGTCCCGTCACGGCCGATACTGATAGTGCCGACCAGTGAAACTAGGCCGATGACAAACTACTGTGATTTTTTTTTGTCCTTTGAAGATGAACCGGTTATTGGGGACCCACAAAGCGTACCCTGTCCGTTATGTACTTTGTGGAATGAAAAAGGGTTTGGTGCCGTTATGTACTTTGTGGAATGAAAAAGGGCTTAGTGCCTCAAAGACTATCTCCGTTTTTGTGTGGAGTACTGTTCCGTTTTCTTGTCATAAGTTTGGCACCTCGGTGTACGTTTTTGTTCACCGAAAAATGAGATACTCTGCAGAACGGCATTTTCTAGCTTGATTCACAAAGTAAATTTGGAATCAAGAATTAAAGGCGATTTGCAAACGATACACATTTCTTTGTGTTGTTACCGATGTAGCTGTATCCATCCTAAACCTGGCCAGATGTGAAGTTACAAAATTCCTGCGTCAGTGCAGAATAGTGGAGCCTTTTCGTATCCAACATCGGAAAATTTCAACTGAAAATAAAACACTGGAAAATACAAGCGATAGGTTATCTTATCAGTCGTTTGCGTGATAAATTTTAATAAACGCCTTATAAGAAATACTGTTTCTTGATGTGTAGAGCATAACCCTGGTGAAATGCACAAAGTAGGATTCTGAAAGTAATTCGGAAACAAGTAAAATAGCTGGTAAAAGTATGGACAAGTGGAAATGACTTATTGGCAAACGTCAGTCGGACCAACGCCCAGTTCAGAAGAGTTCTTGAGTGGCTTTGCTCTGCCTTTCACTAGGCCAAGATGCCTCTAAATCTTCATCATGATCGGCGTGCCTTCTCATTGGTAGATATTCGGTGTTTCGATCCCATGTTGACCGTGTATTTACTGATAGAGGTTGACTCAAAAATGTTTTCGTGATATTCGTTTCCCGGATCTCGAATTTGTAACTGCCTGGTTCGTTAGCATCACATTAGCTTGTGACATTTAGTGTACCTTGGCGTTTTTTTTCAGGGCCTCGTGACAGGTATTCGCGGTCTATGTGGTGGACTTGGTCCTGCACTGTTTGGGCTGATTTTCTACATATTTCAAGTAAGTTGTGGAGAGTACTGTTTGTACTCCAAAGCCCTGGCTCTCATATTCACAAGTTATGATCAACGCATTGTGATGCCTTTCCCGATTTCCATATCGTGCTACGGCCGACTGATAACAACGTTCGTTCTTTTGGCTTTAGGATCGCACTGCTATTAACCCTTCACACGTACACTCCTGCACCTTTCAACAAGAGCTCTTCCAGTCAGTTCGCCGTTCATCCGGGCATTTGAGTACATCAGCCTAAATGGCTTATGCCAGCACAGAGAACGGTAATCTCTCGGTCGTTCTACTCTAGGGAGGGTTTTGTAAAGACCGACAGTCCGTATATATGCACTTGCGTTGTATGTAGACAAATAACATCGTCTTCGGAAGCTCGTTGCCCGGAAACAGGAAAAGATCACGTAGACAAGCCAAGGAACAACATCTGCGTTCAACTGATTCGTCTAACTTTCACCGGTCGAAACAATATCGCTGCGTCTCCGGCTTTTTTCTTATCCCCTATTCGTGAATTTCTTAAGTTCTCGAATCACGAGCCCGGTAGTTACCATTCCTCAGGACTAGAATCCTGGAACCAGCGTTTGGCGACAAACTGTGTGTGGATCCACAGGTCCCACAGTCAGTAGTGCTCCCTCACCAGTTCTCTAACCTTCATTATGCGATAACTCCAACGGTAACGAGATATTCGGAACGGCTTATCATGACTTTATGGGCACATTTTCTACACCACGCTGATCAGATTACTGGCATACCTGAGTGTCCGTTTCCCACTGTTTCTAGTGCCAGCAAAGAAAGGCTATCTGTGTGATGTCCTTGAACGTTCGTTTGACTAAGCTAACTGAGTTGTAATTGTATTCAGTTGGGCTTCATTGGTAGTTGTTCTAATCCGGTGCAGCTGATCTGGCTGGTTTGCACCAAAGACAAAGCATTATACTCGTATTAGGGATCTTTTGCAGCGCATGCCTTCTTCCGTACTCATCCAACGGACCAGTGCGTTTCCCGCCATCAGAGTGCACGCTGAGCAAATCAGACTTATCTCATGTGCCAAACGAACGCGGTCCAGTTTGATGCGTGTATGTGGTCAAACACTTCGTCTGGTCGTTCACCTAGTCGTTCTACTGACGATGTAAACGTCAGTTGGTTGGTGAAAACGGGGTTCACGCAGCTACGCTCTAAGGGAAAACACTAGTCCAATCAACCGACCCGTGCAGGTTGTTGACGCTTATCGTAACCCTAAGATATCAATCCCAGCACGATCCTCGCGAATCTGATTCCTTCAGTATTTAATCAACCTGCCCTGGTTGTATTCAATATCAAACCGAACTCAACATTAGTTTTCACCGGGTGTCCCTGCTTCTTTTTCGAGGATGCCTGTCATGGCTGACTGCTCGTTTCAGTAAATGGTTTCTGATCCACATTGAGAGGATGTTAGATTTATGCATCTGTGACATTTTCTTGATCCAAGCTAGACTGGCTTAATGCCTTTTAGGCTTGTTGAATCAGACTGTCTTTTATTGTTTACAAAAAACTTATGTCTACCTTCCATCTGGAATGAGCAGTAGCTTCATATATCCACCCAGATGGACTAGCTCTCGAGATGAGGCTTTCGAGAACGATGTGCGGATTGTTTGAATAACTCCAAGTTCATATTGGGCACTTGGTTGTTGGTCTGTTCGTCTAATATGAAAGTTGGATTGCAAACGTTTGGTTACCAGTGGAGTAGACATAGTCAGTGTGGGGTGGGTGATCGTACCGCCTCGGTTGGTGATGACTCGTTTGCAATCCAGCTGCCAAGCTTGGTGAACCGACCAACAACCAAGCGGTGCCCTACGGGATACACATATTTCGCAGCATCACTAACCCCCTTTCTTAGAGTTTCATCAAATCATTTAAAATGGAGTGTGATTCTTCTTTCATGTCAGGCGTTTTTCAGTCTTCTTGAGCTTTCGCTTCCCACTAACCTTTTCCTCCATCCCTCAGACTCCATCATTCAGCCTTTAAGGTTCACATCTAAGTCGTCACATTTTTTTGGCTGCTGGTGTAGGCTTCCGAATATCAGTAGCAGTTTTTGAGCATGATGTGCAGTGTTAGGGCATCCTCTAAAAGGCTCAAGCAATACCGCGATTGCTCACATTATGTTATCTTACGTGAATTTTCACTGACCTTGCTGACAAGTTGGTTTCAAAAGAGACAAAGTTCTAGCTAGTCTATCCCTCCAGGCGTCGCAAAAGGCATGCTCTATCAAAATAACAATCCAAGGTGTGAACCTAACTAAGCATCTTAGCGAGCGAAACACTCGAATTCTCGTACAATACCAGCAGTCGGTGAATCACTTAACTCACTCAAACCGACTCAAATTTGTGTAATGTATTATTTTTTCTGCACTTGCATGTTACCAGTACTTTTCCGGTTCCGTGTCCTGTAGGCTTTCAGGACTTTCGCTACCCGCGGTTTTATTGTATAGCATGTCGTTTTATAACTTAAGGCTGCAACTTACCTTAATCTGCGGTGATGGACATGTCAAAAGTGCGTTACCGCGAATTCAGTTGTTCTTTCTGTTGTATAGCAAGATTATCTCCCTTTCAAACAACGAAATCAAAGTTGTGTAAGGATAGCCTTTCCTGACCTGGCTTTACCAATCGGATGTGGTCCATGACGAACGCCTTTGAGAGTGAAATCCTTTGGATGTTTTTTTTTAAAAAGCCTGGCTTCAGGCGAGCACAGAAAAGGCTACACTGACTTTAGAAAAGAAATTTGGTAGACAGTTGAAATGAAGAGGGATTCTGTTCGTTTTTCTTGCATGGACCGTGTAAATGTGCATGCACTGAAATCGCTACTATTTGTGCTTATAGTTATGTCGTGCCACCGTTTTTTATTGTCACCATTATCGACCTGGGTGGACTTGATTTAAATTAGCTCTTAATTAGCCGTCACGTCCTTGTTTTAACCGTTTCACCCTGGTCTCGTTCACATGACGACCATCGTACGACCATAGTCTCCAGATGTCGTCAGTCAAAAATATCCTTATGAATAGCCACATAAACAGTGGGTTGCACCGCGTGTTTATCATACAAGGTTTTATTGGACCATCGATTAAGTCGTGTGTATGTCTGTTTGTGCCATATCGTGCAGGTGTTGTGTTCAGCCACTTTCACTTGTCGACAAACATACACTTACTGGAGACAGTTGGCACAACAGAGTACTCAAAGGATGACGGAAGTAATCGTTTGACTAATTCATGTTTGTAGATAGGGTGTGTTTGTAATCGCGGGGTTTCAAGCTGCCGTAGCACCATGCCATGCCTCGTGGAAATAGTGTGTCCTAGCACCTTTGACGTTGGTTGTTCTCCATATTTGAAGCTTCGTTGTTAAGTTCGGATAGCAGCCTCTTTTCAGAGAAGTTTAATCGACGACCGGATTTTTTTTAGCCTTCTAGGTTGATACCTTGATCACTAACATCAGATAGCACATCCACACTGTCTTTGTGGAGAGAACCAAAGTATTTTATTCAACTAGTTGTTCCCTTTCTGCTGCTGCGGTGGGCTGACCAATTGTTTTCTGTAGAAAATTCCTCCAGTTCGTCCTGCTCAGTTGAATTTAACTCCAAGAATTACTGGTTGGTTCTTGTATAATTGGTGGACCATATCCAGTGCAGTTCCTTTCCGCGGCAATGAAATTAGGTGGGATTCGATGCCAACAGTGTAGTTCACGGATGGTATGACCAACAGGAACAAGATAATCACGCACTGAACGCAACAGGTTGACCAGTAGACAATAAATCACTCGTGTAGAGCCTCTGTGTTAACTTTTTACTTGAGACTTTCCGTGGGAGAAAAATTCCGGATATCTACTCGAGTTGCATTAGATTTGATGCATAGGCATCCTTGACTACTTTACTGGGCTCCAGATTCTCTGTATTCATTAATGTATGGATTCCTCGGATCTCATCCAGGAAGACTATCTAGCCTAATGTCGTTTGTTCCCAGCCGTTGTACGTCAAACAATTCATAGTGCAAAGCAACACACAACTGATTGTCTCATATGCCCATAGATTGGGATTCCTCAGCTTACCAAAACCATACGGTTATTGTAGTTGATAAAAACTTAGTGTGCATGTCATGTTCGCGATCGTTAATTATGCTAATGTAACCCTCGTTCCCATCCTTCATCCGTAGTTATCAACTGTTCTTTTATCGACCTCTTCCACTGTTTCCAAGTAGCAGTAGTTGTACAATGCATCATCAGTCGAGTATTTGCAACCGCAGAAGGCGCATCCGGGTTGAGTTACCTGCTCAAACAGAGCACACGCGTAGGCCGGAAATATGCGACCGCCCTCCATTTGGATATAAGATAGCTGAAGAACGCGTTACAAACCGTTTCTATTACCGTTTTAGCAAGTGTTTGGCTTCGTTCACCGCTTGGCGGCCATGCTGCTCATGGGAAACGGGAACGTGTAACTGAAATGCACTGGATTGTGATTCGCACCCGAAACCCCAAAAAAATGTCCACAGCGTGAGCAAACTTTGAACCCCTCTCCCCATGTGTTCACAGTTTCGGTTGTTCACCACACACTTGCTCTCCATACTACATGAACCTTCTCTCTACGACCCGTCATGGACAATGCAATTTGAACACCACAGACCATCGACTGCTATTCTCTTAGCCACAATGAATTAGCGGGAATAAAGACAAAGTCCTAAATTGAAGTTGATATCATGGAGAAAACTTTCAAGGTTTTTTGTCGGTACTATGTAAATCCATCTACAAATTCTTGTATTCGATGTGGAACACCGAGTTTTACCTCATGGATTAGACTCCCCCTTCTGGTGCTGAAAAAAACGGTACTTGCGCACCATCAGTGCATTAACCAGATGGATATCGCAGCCGTCCTTTCAGAAGCTCATGAGAGTTTTATATTGGACTGAACCAGAAAGATTTCCATCAGAACTAAATATCCGTGCCTTGCCACGCCCCAAACAGCCACCAGCCGATTGAAGTTTTTCCACGTGGAAAGCAGATTTGCTCTGGAAAAAACCGGTTTGAGTTTTCCGTGATGTATTTTGCGTTTTAGTACGGCTCTGTAACTACCAGATGTAGGTTTTCTATATCCCAAATGGAAGGCATCGCAGAGGCTTAACAGTGTTCCGCTGTCTCCCTCGAGGCTCACTGAGGTACAGAAGAAGAGAGATCAGAGTTATAAGCAGACCAGTGGGATGATGATTGTCGTAAGCACATTGCTGATATTGCTACTGCTCATGGTTCATTGATTGGTTACGCTGATTGTGTTAACATGTGAATAATACTTCATTTTCTAGTTTGTTCTACGCCAAACCTAGTGAAATCAATCACGATACTGTATCTTTCCTTTTTGAAGGAAATACTTTCACGCAGCTATGAGCGTCGGTCATCCTACTTGATATGCGGCTAGTTTTCAGTTAACGCCACAAACGGTTCGACTGAGGTAGTCTAACTCTTGTCTGCACATCAATCTACCTCGTATTTTTGCTCTGGATGACTATCCGTACTTGACCTGTTTTCAGGAATTATGAGTTTTTAAATGCTTGCATTGAATTTCATTCCATGAAACCAATGCAACGCACTGCAATTACCTCATAACGGTCATTCCTTCCCCATCTTAGGATAGTGAGAAAGCCTGCGGAAACCATGAACTCTAGAAAACCTAGCCGGCTGAGAGCTATAATCCATTTCAAAGTTGTTTGTGTGTGTATGCTTGAGTTATTCGATTCCAAAGATATAGAGCAAGCTTTCGGCCGAAGAACTATATTTTCTGTTCAACTTCAGTTGACTCGACGTGGTCTTCAAGCAGGTTCTACTGTCGCTGGTATTAGCCTTTTACCAACGATTTGGATGTCCTTCATTGCACCTTCTAACTAGGCCTGTTAGACTCCAGAAGCTTGTTAACGTGTATCTAGTTGTTCGTGTAACGTAATACGCTGCGCATTAACCTTTTTCAACTGTAGATTTCGTCTGACCAACTAGTTTAACGAGTGTTTCATCCTTAGTGTGTATCTTCAGCCGTGTGCGCCGCTGATTGCCTTCGGCCGGAGTAGTTATCATATGGCATAAGGTGACAATAAAGATTATCACCTGTAACTGGGTAACATATCGCGAATACACACATGCACAGCAAGCTGCATTCATGAATTCTGTTGTAAATAACGGCCTCATTGCGAGCTGATGAGCGCAAAAATTACAAGGGGTATCGCGGTAGTTAAAGCTCACTTTCGACCTTGAATCCAGACTGTCCGATTGACGTTAGGTGAACACTCATAACCGTCTGCCGTTCCCGAATCGCTTAGCTACTTGAACGTCCAATCGGTTGCTGATTTTTCTAGCCCGAATGTTTGACAGCTTTCCCACTGCGGTTTCGGTGGGGATTCGTCGGTCTCAGTAGGTTTTGGGCCTTCTGAGGCTATTTTCAGAAATATGACAGGTTTCTGTGTAACTTGACGCGGAGTTTATAAGTCAGCACTCGGTCGATTGTAAATTAGACGGTAGGTCAGTCCCCTAAGGACTTGTCACTCACGGAGCCAAGTGCCACTGTGTCGTGTGGTGTGATGTGCACTACACTCTTGAAGATCAGTGGCTCAATGTCGTATATGAGCTCAGGTTGAGCACACGCACGGTGCCAAGTAGCCCTTGCAAATAAACACGATTATTTGCGAATGCTTTGTTCCCGGTGACTGTAACAACGTGTGGGTTGTTCGCCTTACACGCTATTATCTGATTTTCGTTTTTTCATTGGTTCACTGAACTTTTGACCTGTGAAGCTGATTGGCATAGTGTCCTCAGACTCGTTCACACTGTGAAACCGGAGTGCTTTTCATTACAGGTTGACCTGAATACCCAAACATCAACCTCCGAGTCAGTCAGCACAAAGGCTAATCTTGTGGTAACCAGCTATCCGCAGCCAATTCAAGATGTGAGTGGTGTTTTTTCCGTAATCTCTCATCTCTGTTTTTCAGCCTTACCCTTTTTCTCTAGTCACCAAATCAACTTTCGAATGAACATTGAAATTAGCTGCACTAGAGAGGTTGCCCTCTGTGAAGGGACGACAATCCCACTTGTATTTTGATTGCCTTTATTTTTTTTGTCCCAGAGATTAACTGAAAATTTATTTCATGCAGAAGGTCATCAGAGAACTTATGTGTTCATCGGCCCAGTCCCCCATAGTTCCAGTTTGTTCGTCACCACGTCAGTTAGGCTACCGATTAGTTCATCATTCCGCGACACTTTTCGTTGTTTACCCTTTTGATATACCTGGTGAAAAATGTACACGACTTCATAGAGTCTCCATTCCGAAAGTTTGTGTATGTTGCATCCATCTATCTAATCTTATCTAAGACACGCAGGTCAATGTGCCACCGAGTTTGTTCGGCGTTGCATTCAAGTACTCGGAGGTGTGGCCTGGGTAGTGCTGTCTCACTTAGTGCATTAGGTATTTGACTCGCGCCCTAACCCTAACTAGGTGTGGAAGACACGCACTACTCCTCTTGATGATCGTGCCACAGCGGTTGGTTTTACCAGTTACATGCAGTTGCATCATCGTACCATGTATACTGAATCCTCGTACTGGTATTACCCATGAGGTTTTCTGCTGTGTTTAACTTACACTGATGTGAACCTATAGGATCCGGAAATTCTGGCACAAAATTCACTGGCCAGTGTTTTCCAGAGCCATGTCAGATCGTCTGTGTTGCCGTTTATTACAGTGCATCGGAATTCTCCTGACCAGAACTATCTGTACTGTCTTGGCTTGAAGCTGGAAAAAACCTTTCCAGGTTTTAATACTTTACAGGCAACTCTGAATGACCGAGTGAACGAAAAAGATATTCTTTTTTCAGAGTTAGCAACCGTAGTAATTACGTCAGAAGTAAAGTAGATGGTCAGTTTGGTTTTTCGGAATCGAACCGAGGTCTAACCCTTTGGTCCCATGAGTCGCTGTCTAACAAAATAGTACTTGCAGATGAGACGTTTTGACCTGCGTCAACCTGTGTTTGTTAACGTCGAACCAACAGTACGGCTGTATTCGAGTACCTATTCTCGAAAAATACACAGATTAGAAACCACTCTCCAGAAGTCTTGAGTTTGGACGTAACTGGACATCAAGACTGATGAAACAAGCCTTCATAAAACAACCCATAAGTCACAAAATAAGTCTGCTTCATTAAAGTGTCTGTTGCGAAAAGAACCTGAGATAGCTCTGGAACAAAGGCGTTTTTTGAAAGGCCACGATCCCAAGATCGAAGCCACTTGGCTAGTTCAACCCGGTCATCTGGTCTTTGAAGTTAATTGTGAAGCATGTGCATCAGTTTACCAAAACCCACGCCGAACGCTTTTATCTTGTGGTGAGTTAGTTGAGCCGTTCATATCGTTTGGTGTCCTGGCATTATGGTAGCCCCGTACGCATGAGTTCACCAGTAGAAATTGACGTCTGCGACTTCGTATTTATCTCCAAGCATTGATACAACTGATGTTGTTCTCTCAGGTTTTAGATTTTTCAATGTGTCATCTTGCAAACAGCTCACACACCTGAAACATCAGTGTCAACACCGATGTTGCTGTTTGTGATGAGGGTGAAAAAACCCACAATATCGTGCGATAGTGTTAATTCTACTCTCTCGTTTCTTTGTGCGAAACGCCATTCGGAAGCAGTCAATCTACTTCTTACTTCGCAGTATTGCTTATTTTGAGGTTCGACCCAGAACAGAGCCGGAATGAAACAAGGCTTTGAAGCATTTTTGTGAAACAGTTAGGACTATCAAATGAATGAAGTTTCGATATCTCACGAACTATGTTGAGTAATCCAATGTTGTCCACGCTTTTCACCCTCGAATTTCGAGAGCGAGTCGTTTCCTTGCCCAAATCTCCATCCTCTGCGCACTTCAGCCTTCACTGGATTCTTTCTTGATACGTTCTTTGTTTTGGATTATGCCTCTCCCCAGACAATAACTACTGTCCTGTATTGCTCTGACACAGTCCTGATATTTTCGGTGAATTGCAAACAAACCCAGGGAGACCCCAGCAGTAAACTAACTCCACTTCCATTCCACTGTTTTGGATGCGTAAAACTCAATCCATTCCACTTTTTTCGATGAGTAAAATGAGATCAAGGCCAAAAGTAGAAGCATCAATGACTCGCACTGCAGTCATTTTGTTTTCTGTCTGGGTTTCTCACCACAGTAAGATGCAGAATCTTGATTATTCCCACTAAGGATGGAACAGTTGTACAATGCTTCTCAACATATATTGGTTTCGCTTACACAGTGGTATCTCCCAAGTTCCCTCATGCTAACGTAGTTTTGGTAAGCCACTTTTAGTCATTAATTTTATTTGAGATAATGGACATAACTTTATTCCATGACTCTTTCTACCCGTTCACTTTTCAGAAAATTCTTCCTGGTCCGCCGTTTGCATTTGGAGCCGTTTTAGTACTTCTCGCTATTTTCGTCGCATGGTTTATTCCAGAAAATCCCAAAACTCCTGCTGCGGTACAGTCGGGTGGATCATTTTTTGGAGGTGAAGGCGGTACGGTTGACTCTCTCTTAGGCAATACCTCATACGATCGCAATATTTTGAGACGGCCTTCGCCTGCAACGGAATCATCATGCGATCTTGTATCTGGTGACTGCCATGATTGTGCAACGTTTTTGTTAGATGTGAAGCCTCATCCAAAACACTTCCATACAGGCGAAAAAGAGCACTTTGCGACAGCAGTTGGTGAACCTGGACTTTGGGATAGACTATTTTCCAGCTGGTCTGATCGTCGTCGTCCGCTTGCGGTGCGACGTTCCAATCGTCTGTTTCGTCAGCCTACCGTATCGTTTACACGGGCTCACTTTGTTGAACCTTTTCGACGTCTTTTGACAGGTTTCTCCAGTGGTCGAACCATTATTGGTTCTGATGTGCCCCAACTCACGGTTCTACCCAGTCAGTATACCGACGGGGCCACATTAGATGTTTTCGGCTCCAGTGACTTGTTGCGCAACAAACCGCATCAGATCCAATCTCGTCACGAAACAGAAGCAGCCGATCTGAGCAACTACCGAAGTCATAACCTCAAGCATTTTCTGACTAGCCCCTCTTCCGAAGCAGATGTATTCACCGCACGTCGCTTCGATGTGTCCCACAAGAACCATGCTTTTTCAGCGTCACCCGAAGCTGCGGAACACAAGAGTCTTCTGTCAGCTCCGTTTAGCGATGTGAACATGCAACCTGTATCACTTGAGGTTTCCACCCCTTTGGACACACTCACGCGTGCCCCATCAGTAGTTTCATCTTGATCTGCACTTACACAGCTCCAGTTGTTTTGGTAAGTCCACCTCACGTCCTATGCTCACTTGAATAACGTTCTGTCTGACTGTTGTTTTTACCCGGGACAAAATCGCTCAGTGGTTGGAGCGCGAATTTACTGACCGGAAGGTACGTGGTTCGAACCCGACCTTTACATCTCGACTTCCCCTGTTCAGGTTCGGGCAACCTGGTAGCCCTCGTACTTCAGGTGGCATGGCAGCTAGGCACTGAAAGGGTGTCATGCTTGAAAGGTTTCCTTGTTTCTACCCCTAAGTCTTTTCCAAATGTTACGCCGCCGATCAAATGCGCAGTAAATTTCACCCAGCACTGTGATAATGAATACACGTATTTGATCTCAATGGTGAGACTATCATATATTTTTCGTCCTTCAAATTAGTGGCACTGTCCACCTTCGTGCGCACCGCACACAAGAATCAATAAATATCGATCATCATTTGGTGCGTTCGGGTACACAATGGAAGTCGATAGTGCAATTTCACTCACATGGTCGATTGTAGGATGTGTTGACTATACGTGTGGAGTGTCACCTCTTAGGCTTACTTTTACTGTCTAATCCCACTTATCAGCTTGTCCGGTCAGCAAGATAACGGTGATACTGAGATAACCGCTTTTAAAATAAAGGTTCCGTACTGTCACTTCAGCATGTTGCTGTCGTATGACAGTGTCAGGAGGGTTCCTTTTCTGTTGAATTGTTCTTTTTATGACGACGAACGCAGTATCGCGCTCCGACTGGCGGATTGAATTATTTAGCTTTTTTGAAGCCTCTGGTGTGTCTATGAAGTCTCGTTCGTGTGGTGCCAAAAAGACACCGGGAGCATTTGTCTAGGTTGTTGAGAAACTAATTATATCATAATTAGACTAATCGTTATATATATTATACGTTTTGGTATGAAAATTTATTGTTCCGGAAGTAACACCGAGGAGCGGCTGCTACATCAACTGAATTATTGTGTCTTTAGAATTTTATCGTGGTACTTTGCTTTTCAATTGAACTGTGTGTGGGTGGTTGCCAGCGCCCTCGTTTCCTGCCTTGAAAGCGAATATGTTAGCGAAACAAGACCGGAAGATCACAATATCGTATTCGTCGTGTGTTGCAAGGAGCATAACGTCTTACCTACATCCTTGAGCCACCGAATGCACCCTTGGCTTGTGCCCGAATAACTTTCTTGGTGGCCAAGTCATTTGTCAAACAGAACTCAATTTCTGGGAAAGTAAATCTTCTTTTCAGGAAAGAAAACTTAGCAACTCCATCGGTATGCGAGGAAAACCGTGGGACTGGTCCCTTGAAAGAAAGGTGCTTCATGACAATGCATAGTAAGCAAGACAAAACTAATCAATAATAATTATACAGAAACTAAGTACTGTTAATTGTGTCGTGCTACGAACTGTTGAATTTCGCGATAAGTAAGAGGGCTGTAAGCGCAGAGGCAAGTCTGACCACTGAGTCGTTACAAATGCTGATTTTTATGGAAACGAGCGCATCTAGTCACGGTTCTGAACTCCCAGTATCTAGAAGCTCCAGCATTTGTACCATCAGAGTGAGAGGTCTAAGTAGCTCAAACTGGGTGGATAATCTTGCAGTTGTATGTTGTGATTCATCTTGCCAGTGACAGCGTTCTCCGAAATTCTAATTGCGGACCTCAGTCGATGAACCCGCTAGTCTTCACCAAACGGTCTTTTATTCAACAGACGTCGGTGTTCACGGAAGACGTGGAATCTATCACTGGTAAATATACTACATGCATTTGTCTTTCTATGGTCACTACTTGACACCAAGTAACTATTTGCATCTGACAGCGACCATGCCCTCATATGCCGACAAATGAGCCAAACCAGCTCAGTAGGAAAAGAAAGCGTTCAGCTGTAGCACCCTTCCGGTGCCTAGCTGCCTTGCCACCCGAAGGAAGCACGAGGGCTGGGATACTGCCAGTTTGCCCAAGCCTAGACGGGGGAAGTCGAGTGGCGGAGGTCGGATTCGAACCGCGGACCTTCTGGTCACAGTTTGCCCAAGCCTAGACAGGGGAAGTCGAGTGGCGGAGGTCGGATTCGAACCACGGACCTTCCGGTCAGTAAATTCGCGCTCTAACCACTTGGGCCATCTCGCCCAGTTCAGTGCAGCCTGCCTGCTACTCAAGAGGTAGCAGCTTGCTCAATCCAACGATTTTGTTCGCGTTTCAGACGCCACCCTGACTTGTTCGACATGTAGTAGTATTTACCAATTTCTCGCGCCTCTACTCCCGCCTAACTCTCTAGAACTCAGTTCTACCACGCCCTATTAGTTATAGTTGAATCCCTGCAACACCTTAAGCGCTATCGAGCAGTTATATTACCCTGTTGCTTTAGACTGTCGAAATTGTACTTTTGTGCTAGGCCGCTCGTATCCAGTCAGAAGTGACAGTTTGGAACAGCCATGCGTGTTTTCCTGACTTTTACGTGTCTATGTTTGCTACTTCTACCATTTTCCAACTCTTGATTGCGCTCAGTATCATGCAGAAAACATTCTGTCTTATTCTGTCATTTGTCTTGCTGGGCCACACCTCTCAACCCCGGTTACTCTATGCATTATTGAAGTCAACCCAATGTTAAGTCGACAGCCGTCATATTGGCGATGTTTTTGTCTCTCCACTTCAGATATTCTCAGTCTTTTTCAAACGTCCTTCGCGATGTTGGAGCTTGTCTTATGCTGATCCAATACCCAAGCTGAATCGTGTAATTTTATCCAGAGATCTCGAGCTTCTCTCCATTTCTTTGTATCCGTCGTCATCCACCCACTCCATAGTGGGTCAAGCCAGCGGTGTTCTACTTTACTAAACTCAGCGTGAATTAGTGAGACTTTTAGGTTTTCCTAAGTTCCGATGCACAATTCCGTCGAGATGCAAGCAGTGTTCCAGTTGCGCCTTCTCTCCACAACATGTGTGATCCTGGATTCGCGCTCACTGTACTCTGTCGGCATCAGGCATGTCACGTGATTAGTTCGGTACAGATGCAAGGCATGTAAAATCACATCTGTTTGTCTCCTTGTTTGCGCCTTCCTCACTACTACTGCATGCAGTGATCACAGCTATTTAGTCACAACTATTTGTTCTAATATTTGTACAAAAATCTGAATATCGGTCTCGGACGTGTTCGATGTACACACTATTTCTGGTCTCCAATATAAATGTTATTTGCCAACGACTGATTCGCTCTTCTGTGAACCAGGGTCAGTTTACCTCATTTTTTTTATTTCGGCTGCTCCCAACTACTGATGCCTACGCATCAGTATGGGCACAAGTTACATTTCCGAGATGGTAGTTCCAAGGCAGTAGGTTATTTTTGATGTCCCATTACAATAAGGACTTGACTGCTGTTTTCGATTAGGGATCAGTCCTGCTCGAGCGATGTTGCAACCCCCCCCCCTCTAATGAGTAATATTACTATGCCACCATCAGAATCATTGGAAGAAACAGATATGATAGTTCGTACGATATTATGATGTGCGTGAGATTTTTCAGATCTGATTTGCCTTCATCGTTATGGTTGTTTCTGTTTTGATTGATGCTGAAAATCACTGTGCTGTAGTTACCTTGCGACTCAACAGGAATGGCCTTCGAGTGGTCCGAAACGGAACTTGCATCCTTGATGGAGCGAGCTCCTAAAGCGGTTAAGCTCCCCTCACACTTGCAAACTCAATAGGTTTCCCAACATCGCCCGCTACTCCGTGAGGTGAAACTTCAAAAGCAAAGGTGACCCGCAAGTTATCAGTGTGCACCAATTGATTTTTCCTCACTTGTTTTAAGCCCCGAAAGTAGAGGACGACGGTCTTGTTCGTTGGGTTTTGATCCATCACTCTCTCAGTCCACCAAGCATTGACCAGCCACCATTTCGCATCCCCTCACACATCCACCTATTCCGGTCTCGTTTTCGGAGCAATACAGCAAGAGGAATTATCCCCGTGTAGGCAGTCCCTTGGAAACACAAGTGGGCATCGTGTCCTACTTGAGTATCATTATGCGGTGAGATTCCTAATGACGTGGCCCGAACCCAGCGGCCGATTACCAATGTTCCGAATTAACCACTTTAAGGAAGAGATCAAGAGAACCAAGATTGAGTTGCTCGACCACTATTCGACAAACGTGGGCAGAGAAGCCCATTCAACGGTACAAGTAAAATTGAACCATAGTTTGTGTAAACCTAACGGGTAAATTTGCCCCATAAGTGCTCCACCAAAAACGCATGCAGAAATCAACGATACTTGGGAATGAATTTTTATTTCAACGATTTCCAAAATCTGGAATATGCCTTGATGAATTAATAACCAGACATTCCAACGTGTTCTGTGTTATATCCATCCATCCGTTCATTCCATCAAACCGATTGGAAGATAGCGTCCAGGACAGGTTCAGTGTAGCGAATTCGCTGACGAATACTAGTAATCGAGATCGCCCCATTTACACGTGAGTAGCATTCGGCGACACCGAAAATCACAAATGATAGTATCAAGGACTAAATTCCACATGCTAATGGTGCAAGAGAGGATGGTCGTTAAGTGAACCAAACGCACTCAACAGGGATTCTCGCCGTTGTTGGAGGTGGTGGATGTTGCGAACCGAATGTCTACTGAGATGACGCACGTGTCTACATCGATGTGACTAGCCTTCATGCGATTATGACTTACTGCACCTCCTTCGTTCTGCAGCCCCAAATTCAGGCCATTGTGAGCAATCGAACACACCTGCTACTGCAGACCAATATGCGAACTCATACCAGTGTGGGCAAATTTCGCACCATTTCGTCTTCCGCGGAAATTCGTCTTTGGAGATCCAAGGTGAAGCACTCTGCGGTAGGTAGATGCCCGTGGAAGGACTAATTGTCAATACTACTGAGATGAGGTCTATTTCAAATCCAAGTATTGTTTGTCCTTAAAGGATGGACACTCTGCACAGTATGGACGTAGATTCCATCGCATGAAAATGTACCAGTGAATCGAACGAGAAGCAGAATGAAGAACGGTCAAATCTGTGATGTTGAACTAATCCAGTATTTTCAGTAGAAACGAAGATAGTAAGATCTGGCCGTTATACGCCTTATCTGCATTATTTATTGTGTGGGAGACAAAATATTTTTCGTTATTGGGCACTGGGTTTCGTAACCATCAGTTGGCGTCAAAAGGCCGAAAGGAGCTTCCTCTCAATGCAATCTGATGTCATTACCATGAGTTTTGTTTAAATCCGCTTGGTGCTTTTGGTCTGTTGATCAGGATAAAAATGCTCAACTACACAACTCCAGAATATTCACTTTTGAATTCCTTCGACTCAACCTTAGCTTTGTGTATAAGTTTTCGGTGCGTCTGCCTCAAAAGCAATCTGGCTGCACCGTTCAGAACAGCTGTGTCAATTCAGATCGTTGTCACACCACCGCGTGAGTACCTCCTCATCACTCAATCGTCTCAGAGTAACCGGCAAAAGCGTCCTACACTTATTCTGGAGACTCTTCAACCATGGAGCCGTCGTGTCGTATTTCGCCGCAAATCTTCAAATTCATCCTCCACTCTCGTGTTGGTGAATAACTGAGCGCCCAGTCGATCTGTCGCATATTTTATATGCCTCAATCAGTCGCAACTTACACCGGACCAAATAATTGATTGGCCTCCACCGAACCGACAGTTAATCTAGGAGGGTCCCGTGTGGCAGAACTGTGCAACCGCAATACGGATCAGGAACACGCTATCGGATCGATTTCGACTATTCAACCGTAGAACAGCGGGACACGAAATCAGACGACCGACTAAGCCTGTCGATAATCCGGTAATAGGCAACAGTATTCTTAGGGTCTAGCCCACTTGTCCACCTCAGATCGTCGGACCAGAACAAAATCACTGTTTTCTCAGCTATAGGTAGCAATGGTTGTCATAGGAATGCAAAATAACGTTCTCGTAACCTCCCATATCACGCTCGTTCGTGTTCAGACAATCAATACAAATTCCGTTGATTCATTCGCCTGGTCAGTGAAAATTGTTCTAGACAACTCGTCCTACTGCCGTTTAAATATTGACAAATCACATCCAGTTCGCCATTCATCTGACACTCCGTTGAGTTGGCGTGTGGTTCCTCAAAATTGCCCATTTGAAATACTCGATGAAATTTCCATCGAAACCGTTGACTGGGTATACTATGCTGATCCAAAGAAAGTCAGTTTTGCCAAACTTTCTCCCGATCAAGCACGGCGTAGGATGCAGTCACGTGTGACAACCATATACACTGCGATAAAATTACTGAAGCGCGTATTTCGCTTACCAGTATTCCACTCCCAGTGGATGGAATTGGAGAATTTCGGTAGCAGCAGACGAACCATATCATAATTTATCCCCACCGACCGCCAAAAGCATTTCTTTTAATCAGCTGGCGTAGAGACACCAAACGGTGAGAAATTGACGTGGAATAATCACCGGACGATCCCACCACACCGTCTCATCCAGGACGATTTCTGTACACAATCATTGCGGGTCCTTTGCTATACTCTCGGTGACTTTCGCCCAAATACATTTGATTCAGAATAGTATTCATCTCAATTTTGGCTTGATGGTCTTGAAGTTGGCTTTCGAAATTTGCACTTTGGTCCACTAAGTTAGCACCCCTCAAAATAACGACAAGTTTTCACTAATAAAATACTTTCTAGTGAGCATAAATGGATCATGTGGTCTGTCCATGCGACGCACATCCAACGACTTCTTCCCTAGAAAGGGTAACGAGCTTGTGATGCAGCATATGTATCAAATTGATGTTGAACTGATTCGATGCACAGGACCATACATGTTACGTCGGTCAGCCGTAATAAGGGCAAAAGTCCACACAACCGAACTAGTCGCATTTAAACCAGGGAGAAATGTTCAAGCGAGTGTGATGTGGACCATTACTCAACAAACCATGAAACTCCAAATCTCTAAAAGCTGAGATAAAATATTCGCCAGAGGAAGCTAATAGGATATCTTGAGGATATATTGTGTGCTATTATGCATTTAGCAAACTGTGAAACTACGGCTTCTCTTTCTCTGATCCTTTTTGTTCCCGCGATGAATTTTAGAACGATCTGATGTATCCACATGCTTTAGAACTCCAGTATGCAAGTACGATACATGTCCAACCATATGGACACAAATTTTTATGATGGTACAAACTTTGGAAGTATTCAGTGTCCGGTTTGAAAACTATACCATCCATTCTTGGTTGCCAAGCTGTCTGGGCGATTCTCCTTGAAGCATCTGCTGATATAATTCTCAGTATATGATTTCAACGTGCGCCACTCACCAAGAATAAGTAGCATTTCATAAAATTCACCAAAATGCTCGGATAGAGAGCCAGTGAATAGGGTAATACATGCATCAGCGTACTAGTCGTAATATGGAGAGCATCAATGTTGAACCTCTGATCAAAGCAACCGTCACTTGCACTGCTTTGTCCTTTGGATTACGATTTCAGTCCTGTCAACTGAGCTCCATTCACACTAATTTTCACACAACAATATGCTATCTATCGTTTCGCGCCAATTCTTGTCAAGCTATTGTCCCACCCTTTACTCACTTCAAAATTCTGCCGCAGCAGCCTTCTTGTTCCAACATAACATCGGTTGCAAAGGCAGCGTCGTGCAATCTCACGCGATTCAACAACAACCCATAGTTCTTTCAGTCCGACCCTTATTTTGGTTCGTTCGATAAGCCCAGCCTTCTGGGCTGGAGATGAGTTTGCCATATTTGGTCTTGACTGACAGCACAGCCCTGACTGAAAATCGATAAGGCCTTCTGTCTGGTCTAGTGCTAGCCGATCGAAAGGTATGGGTAGACCCGGGCCGTTCTACTTGTTCTGCAGCACACTAGGCGGATCGACTGGCAAGACCCTTTCAGTAGAGACCTAACAGACATGAAGTGACACGGTTGACGGACCGGGCACGAAATCGTGATTCATGTTTCCTTCATGCCTATTCTTCTGCAGGGCTGCACCAAACGTAGACAGGCATTCACCCTCAATCTAACTGAAGTGGGGTGTGATCTCAGGCTGAATCACCCGGACCATGGCAGCCAGCTAACGAAATGATTATAGATGCACCTGCTGACCCGTTTGTCACCTGACGTCTTGCCGAAGCGCAGTATGTTTTGGCTGAAGTTCAATGTTCACTGGCCAGAGCGTGAGCCTGGCTGAGCCCATGCAATTTTGAAAACGAAAAAAGAACACTTGCCGACCCCAGTGAATTGACGTCCTAGTGTCAATAATCAGCCAACGCTGAACAGTGTAACATACAGTAGCATCGTCGA